ACCACTCCATTGTTCATTCATTCATTCAAGAAATTTCCATCAGTCCCTACCTTTGGGAACCATTTCATGAGGTCTAAGATGATGAGATACTTTCTATGTGCACTTTCCTGCATAATTTGCTTTTTAAAAAATGTAAGATTACCTTCATAAGCAGCAGCAATAATAAAGATATTGTTAGGAAGTCGAACTGCATCCTTCCTAAAATCCGTATGTTGAAGCCCCAAATCCTCAATGACTCTGAACAGGACTATATTTGGAGACATGGCCTTTGAATTGGTGATTAAGCTAACATATGTTCTAAATTAAGACGTTAGGGTTGTCCTGATCCACTATGACTAGTGGAGTTCCTTTTTACTTTGCTTTTGAGACAGGTTCTCACTATGTCATTCAGGCTGGCCCCTGGATTCACTATGTACCCTACCTGGCCTCAAGCATGTGGTGATCCTTCTGCCTCAGCCTCCCAGGTGCTGAGACTGCAGGCGAGTACCCCCATGCCTGGCATGGATTTCCTTGTAAGAAAGGAATCTGGACACAGAGAGACCAGGGGCCCAGGGGAAATGGCATGTAAAGCCATGGTGATGTGGTGGCTCCTGGCAAGCCAACAAGGAAGTGGTCAGAAACCCAGTCTACTGCCACCTTGATTTTTGGCTCCTAAGCTGTGGAACGGTGAGGAAATAGATTTCTGTAGCTCATGCTGCCCATATTTAGTATTTTGTTGTGGTGCCCCTGGCAAACTAATGAAGACTTTTTCATATGGGAAAAGAGCTAATGTTTTTAACGAGGTACTGGTCCTTACTGCCCTGAGCCCAAGTTCAAGAAAAACAGCCGTAGTGCACCCTGTACGTGGCCGAGCTGCGGTCATGGGGACGTGAGTGGAAAAAATGCCTAAGCTGAAGTTCTGCGTCACTTCTGGGCCATCTCCACCTTAGGCTGTGAGTCACCTGCGTGAGAGCCCTCTGTACTCCGAGCACGGACAACCCCACTTTGACCACGTGGTCACCCCAGTGGCAGGTGGGAGCCATCTGGGTTCTTGAATGACTGCAAGGAGCGGAGGCCCTCCGAGAGCCTGCAGGGCTCCCTCGGGGCTGCTCCCCTCGGGACTGTAACAGGAAGAGGGAGGTGCCTCCATCTAGTGCAAGCCTCTGCTCAGAGCTGTGTGTTTTTCTGCTGCTGTTTCTCTGGGCCGCTGCCCCTTTTCACTCTGGCGAACAGGACCCATCTCTCCTGTTTTCACAGGGTCTGCCTGCAAGCTTACCCTGCAGGGTGTCCACACCCCTCCTGTTTATCCCACCTGGACACGACAGCTGAGCTGGTGGGTCAGCAGAGGGGTGTATGGAATACTCTCCCTGCTAACGGTGGAACTCCCCTCGAAGGAGAAGCCAGTCAGCTGTCACTGCTTCCTGCCTGGTTTACCCCATGGGTCACTGCCTTGTCCCCTCCGCTCTGCTGCAGACGGCAGTTCTGGGGCCCTGCCTTCGTGGTTTGGCTGTCTGACCCATGGGCACGGCTGCCCTCAGGACTTCCCACCTATCTGTCTCACTTCCTTTCCTGCCTTCGGAGACACCCTTGGCTCAGAAAAAGAAAAAATTCTGGTAAAAGCTTTATACAACCTGGAATGGAAGCTGGCATTTGCCTTACTAGATGCCAAAGAATTATAAATAGAAATAAATATACAGTACTTAAAGCATGGTATATACGGAGAGGAGACAGAGAAATCAGTAAGTGAAAAGTAAGTGAAAAGTGAAAGATAATTTGGAACTAGGTTTTTTAAGATAAAAAAGGGTAAGATTTTAAATAAACTACAAATCTGAGGAAGTGTTATTTTTTAAACTAGGTAACGGGGGAAAATAACTTTCTGATGTACCTTTTATTAGAGATTTGCATCACATTATATTTAGTGACTGATTAACAATTTAAAAATTTAACCATAGCAAAAAGGAGATGATACAGTGGGAAGATACTATCTCTTTATGAGGAAGGCCTACCTCAAGCAAAAAAAAAAAAAAAAATTAAAAATTAAAATAGGAAAAATAATGGATTTGCAAAAAACTGGGTTACTATCACTTGTCAGATTGCAACACCGGTTACACCCAACTCTCAGCCCATCCTCAACCCTCAGTAATGGGCATATGTGGTGTTAGATGCAAAATCATAAGCACTTAACTTTACACTGGCTGATTGCCCTTCAAGTGAGACGCCAGCCTGCTTCCAGGACGTAAGGTGTTTCCCTCGTCCACTGCTCTGCCATTACTTCGTACCTCCTCCTTAGCTTTCAGTCTAGTGCCTCCTGCCCATCCCAGCTCCATGCTGGTGATCCTGATCCGGCTATGGCACTGGGACCAGCAGCCATCAGTCTCTGTCCCCTCCACCCCGCCAGGGCTCCAGCTCCTGTCCCTCCTCCCTACTCACGGCTGAGGATGTGTCTCCAGCAATCTGACCCCACCCCCATCATGACCTTCGGCTACTGTCATCATTTTTCGTATCTTAAAAAAACTGCTCGTCAAAGTCACCAGTGGTCTTCATTTTTGCTGATCCCCAAGGTGGATCCGCAGTTAGAGCTCCCCTGATCGTTCAGCAGTCAGTGATTTACTTCCCTGCCCCATTGTTCCAGAAACATCTGATTCATTCCTCCTCCAGCTGTCACTCTCCTTACTGTGTTCTTCCGGCCTTTTGGTGGCTGAAATTGTCCTTGTCTTTCTACCTCTCTACAAACTACTGTGCACAGTTATCTCCCCATTTCCACCGATGACAGCTTCTCACTGGCTGTGCATACCAAGACTTCGGAGGTCACCCCTGTGTCTTCTTGTCCTGTCTCATTCAGTCTAGGTACAACTTCCACGTGGATCCAGGTGCTGATGACACTGCCCCATGGTGACAGCTCACCCTGGCATGGGTCACCTGACTGTGAGAGGATTAATCCAACAACTCTTGGTAGATTTCCATGCTTTCATCCCGCTGCTTTTCCCCTCCATCCTGGAGTCCAGGGACTTTAGTCAGGCTAACAGGTTGCACAAAAAAAGCCAGACCTGCTAGTGCCCTCCCGGCAGGTGTGTGGGACTGCCTAAGCTCAGGTAGGTGCCGTAGGGTTCGATGGGCCCACCTTTGTATCTTTACTCTGGTGTCACCTTCCCTGACCACTGTCTGCAGCTCTGGCTGTGGAACCTGCACCTCTTCCTTGTTTTATTGGTACCCATCATCTGTAACACTGCCACTTCTAGCACACATTTTATTTATTTTATTGTCTACCCCCTTACACTACAAGCTCTATGAAGTCAGGGAGTCTGGGATTTTTTTTACTGAGACAGCCCCAGCGCTGCCACACCATGCACTGTTCAAGAAAAACGGGTCAAATAAACAAATGGGTTATGTTTAATACCTGTAGGAAAGGAAAAGGGGTATAAATCTCTTCAAACTTCCCTGTTCGATAATACACATTAGCAGAAGTCTGAAATACGCACTCAGTCCCACACCCAAGAAATGTATGCTTCCTACTACAGGGCACGGTCCCAGAGTATTAATAGGTAGAAAACAAAGAATATTATTTTGAAAATAAATATCTTCATCTGCTGTGGTTCTCAAAGTTGATTATACATTGTTAAAACTTGGAGAGCTTTTTAAGAAAATTAAGAGGGGCTGGGGATATAGCTCAGTGGCACAGCACCTGCCTGGGAAGCACGAGGTTGTGGGTTCCATCCCCGGTAATCAAAAGAAAAAAGAAAAAAAAAAAAAAGGCAAAAAAGTGTTTAGGCCTTAGGCTGATTCCACTGGTGTGGACCAGCTGTCTCTTTTTCCACGCTGTTAGCAGCCTTTGGTGATTGCCCTGAAAGCCATTACTTCATTAAGGGGTAAAGGTGGTAATCCTGTTAACGGCTCCTGTTTCTTTTTTTTTTTTTTAAACACAAAATGATGGGTTCAAGCATATTTTCTGTAAGCACCCTTCCGAGTGGACCACTGTGTTCGTGAGAAATGCTCTCTGTTAGGGGTGAATGTGGGCATGTTTTCTGTTTTCCCCTGGTGACCTATCGCTGTGTGTGCGCTTGCACGGGTGGAAGCTGGGTTCTGTAGTCACTCAAACGCCAGTGTGTCAGACACAGTGCCATGAACTCACACGCACTTTTCTGGACTGATTAAGGACAGCAATCTGCAGTTGGGTGAGCTGGGTTTTCACCCTGATCTTCTATTGTGTTGTATCCTTTTTCATTCATCTTTGCATAGGTCACTGGGAAACCTCAACAAACTGGTAACTTTTTTTGAGGATTCTAGCCATATCTCCTAGATCATTAGGACTTCTGACTCTACAAAAGCCTTCTCCACCTTCTCTCTTTTTTCCATGTGAATTGTAGAATTTCCTACAATATCCCTTTAAGGACGTGGACCATTAATATTTACTCTAATTAAATTAACCTCCCAACAATAAAAGCTTTAGCAGTCTCTAGCTCAGCTGGCAGTAGTATTGTGGATTTTTTTTCATAAATAAATTCAGGCAAACATTTAGAGGCATCATGCACTTTAAAGGTTTTTACAAGTGGAAAGTTGTTCATTTTATCTACAGAGCTGGGATTTAAAATGCATACATACACGAATTTGTTCTTAAATCCCAGCTCCGTAATTTACTATAAAGTGAGAACAATCACTTCACCTACATTATAAATACAGTAAGTGTGAAGTACTTATAAGTGTAAAATTCCTGGAATATAGCAGGCGAAATTCATTAAGAATCATTTACTCTCCCTCCTACTGATACAATGACATTTTCTTTAAAGCAAGCTATTTGTCCTAAAAAGTGACTTTCTCTGTTTAAATGCTTAATAGGACTTTTGAATGCATTGTAATCACGATTTGTGTGGTTACTGCTTTCAGTTAAATCTTTTTAAGATTAAAACCTTTTTTTGTTTTTTATTGACCGTGCCATTATGTTACACAGTGGATATCTCTCTGTGAGAACACTGTGGTTCTTATTAATTTTTTTATTGTTACATTTCACCACACAAACATTGGTCTGGTATCAAGCATTCCTTGGTAAGCTGTTTTATTGGCGGTGTAATAGTTTTCAATAGATGGATAGTGCAAACAAAGTGAAAATGAAGTTGATAAGACCAGAAACCTTGAAAACGTTGGAGTGTGCATGGGTTCTGGGCGTTGGAGGAAATTTACTGAAAAGCTTTTATGAAAGAAAACCCAGACAACCAGAACCTTCTCTGTCCAGGACATTCTGGTGTAAGTCCTTCTGTAGTGCAGTATATTGAGTCTCACTGAGCAACCTTAAGCAGCATTGTGGTGTTGAGATTCATTGCATAAACAAGAGTCTTAGACTAAGTTTATGTTGTGGCCTTTAAAAAAAGAAATGAAGAAGGCCCAAAACAAACAGCTTTAGAAGAAGTCTGAAGAGTAACCTCACCCATAGTCCAACAAAGCAGCAATGCAATCACTGTGCTCTCATGGGCGGGCTGAGCCACATTTGTTTCATTAGAGAGAAAATATTTTTATTATGTGCATAGTGAGAGTTCTCCTGAATCCCCTGTTCTGTCTTTATCAGCCACCATCTTTAAGGAGTGTCTTGAGAATAGCTGAAAGTATCTAACTGGAGCTGGAGAGCTCCTGCACTGGCACTGGCACTGGCCACACTCTGGTTTTGCAAGGTTGTCTTTAGTTTTGGAGGAGGAAGCACAGGGCTGCCATTTCCTTTCTTAGAACCGCAGAGTCAGGAGGGAAGGCAGTGGGCGTTCAGCTGAGTTCTGGAAGAGGGGTAAATCAGGCAGGGCTGGGCTGGGCACTTCCGCTTCTGTAAAGTTTTCTGGTTCCTCTTTATAGAATACCAGTATAACTGTTCTAAGCAGCATTACCTCATCTTCTTTCTGGAGAAAACCAGATTTCAGCATGGTTACATTTTTTTTGGTCCAAATTTGGCCACGAGTCTGTTCCACATTCTTAATCGGCTTCCTATCTTATCTAGTCTTCATCTTTTAAAAAATGCTCTTCAAACCTTAACAAGCTCTGGTTTAAAAACAGCTTCTATGCAAATATTTTGCCTACATTTAAAACTGTAGCTCTGAAGACAGTTCAGTGGAAGTGAGCTGCAGACAACCATTGTAGAATCCCAGGTTCTTTTATTTTCTCCTTTTTTTTTTTTGTCGGTAGCAGGGATTGAACTCAGGACCATTTGCTGACAAGGCAGGCGCTTATGCCGTTGAGCTAAATCCACAGCCCAAATTCCAGGTTCCTATTTGGATTTGAAGATGGGGGCCAAGGCTGCTGGCCTGTAGCCCTGCTAAATGCTGTTTTTATTTCATGTTGAAATTAATCTCATAACATTACCTTATACCACATTCCAGTATTAAATCAATGTCTTTGACACTCAGGGCTTGCCTATGAAATGAAAATTTCTGCTTCCTTAAAAATATCTCGTGTTTAAAAAAAAAATCTCGTGTTTTATTTATGTTGGGATTGTTCTTGAAATTACCTTCTAGGGCAGTAATATACTTATGCTCCTTGTCTGCAGATATTTAGAAGTGGTGGTTTATCTAAAAACATTTAGAAAGAAGAGAAATTTAGAGACAGGGTCTCCTTATGTAGGTCTCCTTATGTAGCTGGCTTTGAATTCGTGGTTATCTTCCTGCCTCAGCCTCCTGAGTGCTGGGATTACACACACATGCTTTTGACAAACAAAATTCTCTGACATTCTTCCCAACATTTCCGTGACTGGGCAGTTAGCCTGAGGATGTTTTAAAGCCGTATTATATATTCTGCTGCTATTTTATCTCTTCGATCTATTTTGGACTCCTAAAAATTCCACCACTGCAATTTGAGTTAGGGTTCGCTTACCTACCCTGGGGTAAAGAATATCTAGATTCAAAAATTCAGGCTGGCCCTTCTCAATATATTGTCTCTGGTGAATTTCCTCACTTACAAAATGGAGATTAAAATTAACATTCATTATATAGGTTCATGGGAGAACTCAATCACAAATTTTTTCCTTTCTTTTTTGGTCTTTTGGCGACAGAGTCTATCAGTTCAGGCTGGTCTTGAATTTGCAAGATCAGCCTTCCAAGTGCTGGGATTACCCAGTGCGGTAACATGCCTGGCTACTCTTTTTATTTATTTATTTACTTATTTTAACTTTTAATCGGTACCAGGGATCAAACTCATCACCTCCTGCTTGCAAGGCAGGTGCTTACGCCGCTGAGCTAAATCCCCAGCCCCCTCCTGGCTACTCTTTTACACAGAAAATTAATGAGGATTAAATACTGTGCCCTTATCTACTATTTGCTAGGGGTCAATTAGGATCTAATCTCACCTTCTATAAAGCAGAGATCCTAGTTTCACTTTCCAGGTGATTAAGTTACACAGGAAGGCTAACCAGTTGTTCTAATAGTTGAACCCCACGTTTCACTACAAGTACACGAAATTTTCGTTTTTCTTCAGGTTATGCCGCAGGGTCTCTCGACGTTGTTGTATGATTAATTCCTTTTGGTTGTATTAAAAATAGGTGCAAATTAAGAGAAAACTCCCGCGGGGACTGGGGAAGGAAAACCGAAAAACCTGCAAAGGAAGTGAACTAACTTCTAGTCTACCTACTCAGTATAACCGAGTGGTTGATCAGTGTTGAAGACCTGCCTCTTTACGACCCTCTCTTTCTGAATCTCAACTTAAAAATGCCTAAACAGAGAAGCTGAACTCGTTCCCAAATTCCCTTCCAGCCCGAAAACAAAAGTCCACTCTCGCGGCCCCGGATCTCTTCACCATCCTGCCCTTTTCCGTGACCCCGAGCCAGCCTCACGGTTCCCTACTCGACCGCAAACTTTAGTACCCTCAGAGTGCCAAACGCCACCGATCCTCGTGACCACAAGATAAACGGTAGGGGGTGCGCCCCCGCGGAGGAACAGGAAGAAGCCGCGTCCGGGGTGACTGGAGACGCCAGCCACACTAGGAGAACGGGGGGGGGATGACGTCACGCAGCGGGCCCAGCAGACAGCGGATTGGACGGTTGAGAGGGCGTGGCCCTTTCTGACAGCCCGGGGAGGAGCCAAAACAGCCGCACAGGCGCCGTCAGTCGCCCCGCCCTTTAGTTTCCCGACCCTTCGCCGGGCGGGCGTGGCGGCGGGCGTGGCGGCGGGCGTGGCGGCGGGCGTGCCGACGTTCAGTGACGTCACAATGGGCGGAGCGTCCCAGGCGTCCCTCCGCCGCTCCAGCGCGATCGGCAGTCGGCGTTTGGGACTCGGTGTGTGCGGTCGCTGAGTCTTCGCTCCTGTGCGGCTGTCACAGTCGGTCCTTTCCCAGACTGGGACAGGGTGCGCGCCCGAGTGTGTGTGTGAAGGGGACTCAGGACAGAGGGTTCCCCGCACTGCTTTGGTTTTTTTGGGGGCTTTTGTTCGCTAGCTGTTCTCACTGGGGAGCGGGGTAACTGGGCGAGTGCTGCGTGTTTTTCTTCTGAAATATTCTTTTTTTCCTTCCGCCCGGGGCCGCCAGGGTTGCTTCCCGGTCCCCAGTAACTGCCCTCGCCACTTGGCCTCCCCTGCCCCGGTCCCCAGGCCCCCCCGCCCCGGTCCCCGCACCTGCCTCGCTATGAACGGGCTCGGCGACCTACCCATTTTCATAAAAGATATTAAGCCCGGACAGAAAAACTTAAATATCGTCTTTATTGTGCTGGAGATAGGTAAGTGGGGTCCGCAGCGCGCCCCACCGCGCCCCGGCGCGCCCGGGTCCTGGGCGGCTCCCCTCCCCCGTCCCTCCCCACCCACGTGGCCCGGCCATCCCACCTTCCAGTTGCGGAGGCGTGGGACGCACGGCTGGACGCCCCCCTCCTCTAACGCACCCCTCCTCTCGGTTTCTCACTCTTCGCAGGACGCGTGACCAAAACCAAAGACGGCCATGAAGTGAGATCTTGCAAAGTGGCAGATAAAACGGGCAGCATCACTATTTCCGTGTGGGATGAAATCGGAGGCCTTATACAGCCCGGGGATATTATCCGGTTGACCCGAGGGTAGGTGTGCACCGAAGGGGGAGGAGTGTGAGTGCAGCCTGGGCTGGGCCGGGAACCCCCTTCCTCCCCCAGTGCCAAGTTCTGAAGTTCCGTGCCTTCTGAGGCCACCCAAGTTCTGCAGTTCTATGACTTCTGGGGCCGTTGAAGAAGTTCTGAGTTGTTTGGCAGTGCTGGAGTGCTGCACAGTTTGGGGACAGTATCAGGCACCAGATCCACCCCTCTCACAGTTAACAAATCATGTGTTTAAATACCCTTGTGGGAGTCAAGTCTTTAATAGATTGATATGGTCCATAGTTTCTCTTTAATAAGTCGTTTAATTGAGGGTGCTTAGTTCTTTTCCATTTCCTTTTTAATGACTTTAGAACCTGCCAGTGTTTTATTCGTACTTGCATTATTTAGATTATGTGCACGTGGATGTAAACTTGCAGAATTTAGCATTTTCGGCGAGTGTCAAATTTATGCTGAGAAAAAGTTACGGCTACCTGGAAGGCTCATTTCTTGAAAATGATTTCTTGTTTCCTGTTACACGTGCACTGTCACCACAACGAATGACACCCAGAAAATGTTTGGCAGAAGGACACCAGTGGTACCTGCCCATCTAAAAGATTTAATTGGCAGATTAACAGCTTTATGAAATAATTAGCGCTTTTGTTTGATAGACTGATATAAGAAATTTCCCAAATTATAGGAAAAGATCAAGAAGAGATCTTGAGTATAGAATCCGAAAGTTTCTTTGATCAATAGGATCATCATTTATTCATCATAACTATGGGAAAAGTGGGTGGAGCTGATGCTGGTCTGAGAATCTGAGGTGCCTGGCTGGAGGAGCTCACAGCTGGCTGATGCTATCTCACAGGCCTTACCACAGTCAGGAAGTGAAGCAGAGAGTCAGCAAAGCAGGAAATGACAGTCAGGACTTAGACATTTTATTTTCATACACTGAGTCATTATGACAGTAATTATGTCTCTTAAACTTCCACATCTTTAACTTACACAAAAGAGAGTTTCCACCCAGGTGGGTGTGGTGAGGATTAGCATAATTGAAATTTTCTTTTTCCCAGAATTATCTTTTCCCCAGAGATCTGGTGATTAAAAGTATTTGACGCTCTATGCTGGGCATGGTGGTGCACGCCTATAATCCCAGCACTTGGGAGACTGAGGCAGGACTACTGAAAGTGCAGAACCAGCCTGGGCTACAAAGTGAGTTCAAGGTCAGCCTGAACTGCATAATAAAGTCCTGTCTCAAAAACACAAATGCGCGCGCACACACACATATTTATATTTATCACACACTAAAAAATCTCCTTTCAAATATTTCATATTCTGTAGTATTTCCATTTAAAGATTTGTCAAAAAACTGATCCTAGTAGCTATAGTATTTGAAGAGTACAGATAGAAAGGATCACAACTTTTTAAAAATTCAAAACGGAAGCAGCTGTTTACCACTTCCCTGTAGCTTTGGGAAGTAAATACACCTCCATATTTCAGCAGCTACTTCTGTAAAATGGAAATAAGTGTACCTTACTTAGAAGAACACACCACTTTTAGATTCTGGCTAAATAAGAAAAGTAGCTTTGAAAACAGGCATACCCAACATCTAAGTGATGGTTAATTTGGAATATTGGCGTGTTTGTAGCTCCTTCAAAACTGATCTCAGCAGTCCTTAATTGACAGTTAAATGTCTGAGTTGTAATTGTTCGAATATTTTTCCCAAAATGTGCATTAATATTTAGTGAGGTGAAATGTTAATGTACTTGTTTTCTAAGTAACTTTGTGTAACTTGAGATTAGTGAATAGCATCTTTAATAACCCTCACTAACAAGAGAACTACAAATGTAAAACTAGTGAATTTTAAACTAACCTATGTTAAAAGGCTAACTAACGCTGTCTTTGGTTGTTACTTAGCTATGTGATTTTAAGTCATCAAGTTACCGTGGTGGTTACAGAAAAACCACTGAAAACCAAACCTTAGGCTGATTTTATAACACTGACTTTCAGAGTAAACAGTTATTCAGCCTGGTTGGTATTGAAAGTTGCCAAGTTGGAAAGGCAGGTGGATGAAGGGTGGCTCCCAATTTTTTTAGCAGTTTGCTTGAATTCTACCAAATTTGCAGTACCCTGCAGAGGCATAAGGAAAACTGTTACATTGATATCAGTCTAGGCCATGCAGAGTGTAAGAGTAATTACTAAGGTACTGATTTTCTATATCCTGTGGCTGAAAAACTTAACATAACTTCATACATTTCTGCAGTTAAAAGCTCTTTTGTTAATTGACTGAAGATGTCACCCGTTTATAACAGTACATGTATGCTTTGTTATTTTCTAGGGTTATAGCTTAGATAGTGGTGTCATGATTTGGCAGTGGAGTTTTCTTAGCAAGTGAATCAAAGCTGGATGTATTACATTTGATTTACCGTAGTAAACAGCTTCACTTCCGGTTCACAGCACTGTAGCCTGGAGTTTGACTCCCCTCCAGGAAACTCGTATTTCTTTCCTCTAGGTACGCGTCCATGTGGAAAGGGTGCCTGACTCTTTATACTGGGAGAGGTGGCGAACTTCAGAAGATTGGGGAGTAAGTATTAAAATGTATTCCCTATCATGGAGTAAGTCGCAGTTAATGTCTGCAGGATATGGGTAGGTACAAGCTATAAACTGCTTCCTTGGCCTTTTTTTTTTCTTTTTTTGATATCTATACAGTTTGACGGCTTTGTCTTCTGAGTGGGTACTAGTTGAGCAGCTATCAGTACCACTTCCTGTGGCTTGTAATGTCAGTTTTTCCTGGCAAAGAGCAGTAAGGAGCAGCAGTTGGCACCATGCTGGTAGGACCATTTCTGTAGGTGTTAGGGACATGCACCTTTCCGGTGATACCTGGAGTAGAGTCTCCCAGTGGTTAATCAGAATAGAAAGCAGGCATAAGTTTTGGGCCATAGAATCAAATTTTCTTTTTCTTTGTGCATGAGTGAGTTTGTACTCTGTGAAGAGGACTTGCGGCCATGAAAACTGAAGTCCTCTGTTTATTCGCAGGCTAGGTGTGGTGCAGGCAGCCGCAATGCGAGCTTCCATACACTGCTACCCTGCTAAGATCTCCACCCTGGCCTGGAGGAGCCATCCTCGCTAGGGGTGTAAAGGTAACTCCCCTCCATGTAGTCTAGACCTTTGGTGTCAGCTGTGGGCCAGGCCATTGGTGAATGAATGCCTGTCACACAAAGAGGATATTTAGAGAGAGAAGCTACAAATGGCACCAGTGTAATGGGGGAGAGAGACTTGCTCTAAGGGAGTTTTTACTAATAACTTTGCAAGCTTTAAAGATCAGAAACTGATCCAGCATATTGTTCTCATTAGACGGAAACTCAAGGTTTTTACATAGAGTATTGTTATTGGAGTTGTGTGCTGAAAAGATCTTAGGTCTTTCTGACTAAGCCTGTCCTGACCTTGTGTACACCAGGGTTTACATGATGGAGGTCAGTAACATCGCAGGAGGTCCCTCAGTTCCTAATGACTGCTCTTTGTCAGGGTCAGTTAAGGATTTCCCCAAACTGGTCCCAGTTTCTTATTGGTGGGGTGAAGCCCTAAGGAAATGCCTCCCGAAAATGTGGTACACATCCTGTCAGCAGCCTTTGTACGAAGCTGCAGGATAAGGTGGTGGTATCGTGATAGCCAGTGGTCTGCCAGTGTCACCAGAGCCTGCTCTTAACCTTGGATGATTATCTTTGCAGATGCACAGTGCTGGGTCCCGAGGGACAGGACGAGCGTGTGAGTGGTCAGTGTACGTCCATCACACTGCTGGAGACACCTGTCTGGAGCCCTGCGAGGTTCCCTGGCATCAGCCTGTGTGGAGAAACAGACAAAGACGTGTTACTCAGTCCTTGATCTCTGACATGATTTATATTCTGCAGGACTAAAAAGAAATTCAAATACAAAATAGAACATATTAAGTGTCATAGTCAAATATTGGATTTTTTATGGATATAATTATTTAGAAAGTATTTGTTATGAATAATGTTCATTAGCAGGTGAAACTATGTTCATTCTTTCATGACCTAAATTATTTCCATAAGGCAGGGATGTTATCTATAGAAAGGTTGATTGACTTCAGAAGTCATTTTATTTGTCCTTTATTTTCTTTCAGGTTTTGTATGGTTTACTCAGAAGTGCCAAATTTCAGTGAGCCCAACCCAGATTATCGAGGACAGCCGAGCAAAGGGGTAACTAACCAAGATGTGCAGCATGTTTTTAGGATCAGGCAGATTTGACCAAATATTTTGATTCTGTGATTAGACTGACCCTGCGGTGTCCTGTATAGTGAAGGCAATTATCAGAGGAGTCTTTAGTATACATATGTCTGAGAGTCTGTAGGTGCTGTGTTATGCCATGGTTACACAGGTTATGGGGCATACAGTACTTTGTGTCACACACAGCAGTGTTAGGAAATAGAAGCTCTCACAGGAGCTGGGGAAGGTTGGGAAACAACCCTGACTCACTCAACAGCTGGTTAGACTCAGATTTTTAAGAGAAAATTTGTTAAAAACAAATTTTCATATTACAAGAAGATAAAGTAATAGTAATACAAGTTTTATAACCATATAAAGCTTCATGTGGTGAACTTAATCTTTTTTTTTTTAGGCCCACAATGAACAGAAGACAAATTCCATGAATAGTAATGCGGGTACAGGTACCTTTGGACCAGTGGGTAAGATTTTTAATTTTGCATGTTTGTGAATCAAAGTGTAGAAATTAAAGGAGTTATGAAAGACCTAGAGGAAATCAGGTGGTGTACACATCTGTAATCCCAACTACTCAAGAAACTGAGGTGGGAGGGTCACTTAAGCCACTGAGTTAGAGACCAGCCTGAGCTGTACAGCATCTCAAAAAAAAAAAAAAAGAAAAAATTCAAAGAGGAAAAAACAGTGACTGTAGGTAGAAAGCAGTCCTAAGGCTGAGCTATTAGAAAGTAGAATCCAGGTAAACTGATTCTAGAAGGCAGGTATACATGCAAACCAGTTTATGGATATTAAGCATTCTGTATTTAATATTTGGGTCAATTTCTGGGAATTCACAAGGTCTGAGTTTTGGTGGTCTCTGTGAAGAGGTGAAATACTATTTTTTTCTTAATAAAATTTCTATAATCTAGTGATTCTCAGTGATTGGTACACTGAGACTCTGTGTTCAGAATAATCCATCTGGAGAGTAATAATGAATTAATACCTTAAGTTGCGTGTATTATCAGCTGTGACTGACATTTTTGGTGGCCCAGTGACATGGTTTGGCATAGTTGATACCACATTGTGGGAAACTGCCTGGAAAGGGTGAGGTTTACATTGTGTGTTTGGAAACAGTAATTTGATTTCAGCAATGTTAGCAGTTAACATTTTTTGCCTTTTTTTTTCCTTTTTAAAACTTTTACAGGCAGCACACTGCCTGTAATCTATTTTTCCCTTCTCCAGCATCTATTTTTCCCTTCTCCATCTCCAATTTTTTTGCCCATTTTTGGTTTTTTTTCTCTGTCAATAACAGCATCAAGTTGATATATGTAGTAGCAATACATTTGTAAAGACCTTTTTAGCATAAAAATGTGTTTTTCCCCTAATACCCATCAGTATTAATAATATATGCTGGAACTTCTAACTGGTGTACTTCTGCTGCTTCTCATAACAGTGATGGTGTTTTGTATTCTCTTGTAGGCAATGGTGTTCAAGCTGGCTCTGAATCCAGGAGATACCAGCTGTCATATGCCAGTAGAAGCAATGGCCGGGGACCTGCCAGTCCGCAACTGCCAGCGGCAGCTAATAATCAAACAGTCACAACCACAATAAGTAGTGGCAGGGATCCTCGGAGAGCCTTTAAGAGATGACCTATGCCAGACAGTCACATGTAGTTTTTAAACTACGTTCCCTACTTGAACACTTACTGCACTTTTATTTATTGTTAACTGTGAAAAGACGTCTGTTCTTTGTTGGTTTCCTTTTAGATGTTTATTTGTGTGGTTGGATTTTATAGCAAGTGTTAAGCTGCTCAGTCTCCTAGTGAAGAATGGGAACACTCAGAAGAGTAGGGGCATTTATTTTTTGAGCAAAATATTACTAAATATTCTCTCTAAAAATCCTGCACCCATTTCTAGGGTGGAGTTACTTAAGACGCCAGCTTTATAGCCTCTATGAGTCTGTCTTCTGTATAAGTTTTGTAACATTTGACAGTTAGACTTAGTGGAGATGTTCTTGTGTTTTAAGTCCAGATATTGCCGGCTAAAGCAATAACCACCAAAAGATAGAAACAAAAACCAGAAACTCAGTCATTGCTAGTTGCAGTTTCTGAGTGTGTGTGACTCCAGGTGTCACTGACTTTACTGAGTGACTGTCATTTAGACTTTCCAAGGACCGAATCATCTTGAATTCTTGTCTCATTACCAAGAAACAGATTCTTTGTCACAATTATGGAACAGAATGTGATCTGTACTGTAACCAGTCATTTTTAGAAGAAAGCCAGGGTTCCTTTAATGTTCCTTACTTAGCATTATAGATTACACTGAAGGGAACTTACAAACTGAGGCCTTGAGTATTTTCAAGATTACCATGTTGAAGTATAGTTGGAGTACACATAAAATGACAATCAGCACTGTTCTAATTATAAAAAATAATTGTGGTAGATAGACATTATCATGAAGATAATTCAAGTTGAACTCATGTAGTAATACTCAGTCTCAAGTCACAAATCTTAAGTATGGATAGGTCCCCAGCCTGAAATGAAAATCCTTGGCACCTCCTGTAAGTGGGGCGCCTGTGTGCTGTTGGTCTTGAACATAGTTTGATTTTGCAAAAGTTAAATGACTCAAATGATTACAGCTTTATTCAGAAATGTTGCAGTTTATGTGTCATCAGTGGTACCACTTCTACTTTTTATTGTAGGATGGATAACTTGCAAGCTTTTCCTTTGTTAGAATTCATGTTTTTACGTATTACCTCTTGAATAAAACTTGTGTTCATGTTAACAGATCTCCCAGGGGTTTGCTCTTTCAGCGTCTTAGAATGAGAGCCCAGTACATCTGACTGCTCTGTTAGGACAGCTTCAGCGTGGCAGTGACTTAGCGCTGAGTTCTCTTCCCACCTGTGTAGTTTTCTTCCCACCTCAGGTCATAAAATGATTTTAAGTCAATCTCGTTTGGATTTCCATAGCATTTGAATACAGAGGTTTGCCAGACTTTGGGGGGGGGGTCTGATTCAGTGTATCTTACAGCTACTTAGGTGCTCCTGTGTTAGGCACTGTGGGAAGAGTGTGAAGGGATAAACGGAATAATAGGAGCTTTACAGGGTTTATCTGTGAACTGTAGTTCTGAGTTTTTGTATTAAGGGGAAGAAGTTTTTTGTTCATACATTAATGATTACAGTTAATTTGGCTTTGTTACATTTCAGAATACCTCAAAGCTACTGAAGGATCAAAATAGATGTTTTTCAGATTACATGCATTTTGAATAAAAAGCTACAAATTACCTCATTGTTAAACTAGAGTGAGAGGCACCACCATATTTAGTAGTCATTTGTGGGGAACATAGTGTGGAAGGTGACTGAAAGAATTTTGCAGTGTGGAAATACTAACGGACTGCTGAGCTGCCAGTCCTGACACCTTCTCGCCTCATCCTGGTAACGTGATGCCTGAAAGTTACTAGGCTTGGAAGTTATCTATACCTCAGCTTTTGCAGCAATGGGAGGAAGAATGCTGCTTCTGGAGCTGTGTAGGACCTCTGAGTAAGTAATCAGAATGATTTCTGGTAATAATAAGCAGTCACACATCATCTAAGATAAATGAGAGCAAGAAAAAGATTCGCAACTTTTTTTTCTTTTTTTGGTACCAGGAATCGAACTGAGGACCTTGTGCTTGCCAGGCAGGCGCTGTGCTGCTGAGCTATATCCCCGGCCTCCTAACAAAAAGAATTTGGTGTGGAAGGACCATCCTCCTTTAACACACGGAGATTAACTCATTACTTTTGTGATTGACACTTGCCTTAATAATTTAACCCTGTTCTGTGGTTTATTATTAACAAGTTTCTTTTTTCTTAAGGGAAGCCTCCAAAACCAAAGCCGAGTGAGTTGCAGTTGGTAAAGTTGCCTTACCGGCCTGCTTGGACAGCACTCATCAAGAAGTTAAGAGGAAGAAAGTTTCCACCTTCATCCCCGGCGCTTTCAGCTGGCGACCTTGAAATAAATGTAAACAGTGTCCAGTGAAACAAAAAACACGTACAGCAATGCACTCTGCAAGAGCTGGGCCCCATTCTGAAGGGCACCAAAGCCTGAGCACAGCTGGCTCTCTGGCTCTGGGCAGGCCCTTGACGTGTCCCGTATTGGAGTGGGAAGCTGAAACCCAGACAGCACGGAACCGAAGGTGTCAGGGTGCTTTCTCACCATGTTTAAACACCTGGGGGTTCCTATTTTGCCTCTTTCCTATAGCCTCTGAATTCAAGGACAGCCTTGATTTGAGCATATTCCTGATACACATTCTGATCCTTGTCATTTTGTACCATTTTAAATGAATGTTTAGTTGCTTGGTTGAGTGATGCCAAAGTGATGCTGCAGAGACCAAGCAAATGTGAGCGGAGCGAGCTATAGTTTCTGTATGAAAACTGAAGGTGAGGGAGGCGCTTGGCAGCCCTGACATGTTTTCCCAGGAGGCGCGCACAGCTCTATGCTGATGCAGACGCCAGTTTACATACCGTACAGGGATCTTCCAGCCAGCTTGGGTACTAACGTGACTTCCCTTTTCTGATGCCGTGAATATGATGGCTGTTTGTTCCGAGACAGTTTGGGCTGCAGGTGACTCTTGATTTCTTTGATGCAACTGGAGTTTTCAGGGACAAATGCGATGTCAGCAGAGCACCTCCCAGTGCAGCACACGCTGTCCCTGGCTTTAACCCTGAGATTCCTTACTACTGCTAGTTACCTCTAGTGATACGGTTTTTTCTCTTTGTCAGATAAGGGTTAACATTTTCAGCAGAAAAAGGTGGTTAGTGATCCTCTAGCATGGGCAGTGTGAGGACATTAGTGGCAGAGGACCTTGGCAAAGGTGGGAACCTGTGTGCGTGTGAGGTTTCCAGCCGAGGAGACGCTGGAGTGATAAACAGCCCCACGTTGGGCAAGGCAGTAATGAGTAACAGTTCAGGTACTAATTGCGACCTTTGGAAAACGCACTGACCTGGTATTACACTGAGAGGGAGGCGCTTGAAGCATTTGCTTTCCAGGTACTATAAACTCTGTAGCTGCCTCAGTTTGTTCTACTGGAAATGTTTTACCAGAGTGTGGATTCAGATACTGTAACCAAATTACTCCAGGCTTCTAAGTTCATTAATAGTTCTCAAAACACAGGCCACAGGCTAAGGTACACACTAGAGAAAAGTACCACTGACAAGCCTTTGACAGGCCCCCTCCTGCCCCCTTTTGGTGATGCTGGGGATTTAACCCAGGGCCTTAAATTTCCTGGACTGGGTCTGAACCTAGAACCCTGTTCCTTCAGTCTCCCAGAAAGCTAGGCAAATTACCATTTTCCCACTTCAGATCCCGAAAGACTGGAGCTTTTTAGCACTTCAGCTGTTACTTAGAATGTTTGAAAGGTTACAGTACACAGAGAACACAATTTCATTGCAGTTCTCTAAACTTCTAGAACAACCAGTTCAAGACTCAGATTTGCTGTTGAAATGTAACAGCGTCATTCCCTTGAGAATGCACTGACACACCAGACTCACTTGATGCTTACTGATCTTTACTGAAAATTAGAGCCGCCTCTTAAAATTTCTGGATGGGAATTCAAATAGGTTTTATGTATTTTAGTCATCAGTGTGCATCTGGATAGGATAATTTCTTGGTCCAAACACTGAATATAGAATAATAGATATATGCTAAGTAAAACTAGTTCATAAGCCACTTTCATGAGACGCTCTAGGAAGTTGGTAAATGAACTCTTTGGACCTAGTTGGTCCTGGGAGAACCTGTCTGGGCCAGCTGCACTTGAAACGCATGGAATGACTTTGTTCCCTGACCCTGAGATCTCCCTTTCAGCAGTTTGGATTAGCTTTGAAATTGTGTTTTCTGTTTCCGTTCCCTATGTGAAGCTAGAAAATACTGAACTTTTGGTTGCATAGGGGTAACGGTGTTTTAAAAGCTGTACCCCTAAATCACAGAATTGATAGCAAGAGCCAATCTAGACAAGAGGTTGAGTACAGCCTGTGAGTGTATGCAGATTCTGAATTTGGTTCAAATAGAATTATACAATAACGCCAATGCCAAAGTTGGACCCCTAGAGTAAGGTCACGTGGTTTCAACAACCTGTAAAGGTAAAAATAAACTTCACGGTAGCCTTTGGTTATCAAACCTAAAACAGGTTTTATTGTATGTCTTAGCAAGTACATCTTTGTGGCACTTGTGCTGTCTGTCCCTCAGTTCCCTATTATGGGAAGGAAGGTGGCCCAGTGGGATAGTAGCTGGGCTGGAGGCAAGGTAGATACTCATGAGCAGTCTTCAACTTCCTTACAGATCTTTGTGCCCTTATGTGCAAAGAAGCAGATATATATATACGTTTTCCACAGTGTGCAAAGCATGGTTTGCTTGCCACAGGTGCTAGTCTTCAGATATTTATAGCCCTAGTAGGAGGCAGACCTGAGCACTGCAGTATGAAAGACAGTCAACACTGGTGCCATCTACTGGGTGATGGCTGCATTGTTTATGGTGAGGGTAGAAAAAGTTCTGTTCTCTAGGATAATTTTTGATGGCAACAAAGGCGATAGAGAAGACCATTAAGGGGATGTTTAAATTTAGTTTGAAAGTAACACCCAGTGACATTGAAGTGAATTCCCCCCCCCCCCGTTATGCAGATTAAATCCTGAACTACCCCAAAAGCTATAAAAAAATATGGTAAAAGTTGCCAAGTTTTGTATTCTCATATTTGTCAGTATTACTGGTGGTAAATGTAAACTGTTAACAATTGAAGGTTATGAAACTGCCCTTACACACTTTATTCCATTACCCAGTGGTATTTTATAAAATCTTGGCCAAATGACTGCTGTGTGTGAGCTTTGCAGAATATAGCAAATGTCACCTGCTTTGGTGACAACAGGGTTTCGAGCTGAGGAGCTGTGGGTTTTCATTCTGGACCTGCTATTTACTAGCTCCACAAATGTCATAAAATAATAATGGCGTAATGTACACACCGGGTTACTAGAACTACATCAGCCAACGTGTGCCGAAGATCACTGTACCTAAGGTGCAACAAATGTTAAACTCTTTTTGGAGATAAATACTGATCTTTTCTCCATGCCATTTTAAAAGAATTTGTCATTTTAGAATTAAAGATTTAGAACATCTTAGGTTTGAAATTTGGAATACTAAGTAGTTTACTTGAATTTTTTCTTAAAGAGTCAAGTTTCAGTCTTCTCTGGGCATAAAAAAGAACTTGGCATGAAAGCATGTGGGTTTCAGTCTTCATTGCAAAGTTCTGCCCATTAGCTAACCACCCTGTCCTATCCTTGCATTTACCTTTGTCCAGAGGGTGAGGACTTGATTGTGAAACCCTTGATTGTGAAGAGAGGCCAAGGTCTGTGCCAGAGAGGAGGTCTGGCCAAAGGGAAGGCAAGGCATCTGGAAGAAATTATTTCCTGATAACTTTTAGCATTGCTGTGCTGCTCGCTTTTCTACTACTGGGACAAAATACCTGACAACTACAAGTTAAGAGAGGAAAGGTTTATTTTAGCTAAGTTTGTGGAAGTTTCAGTTCATAGTTGGGCTCCAAGGCAGGGCACTGTGGCTGGGTGGCATGGCAGAGGAGAAACAGTCTGTGGCATGGTAGGCAGGAAGCAGCAAGCCTTCCTTTCCCTTTTTATTCTATCCAGGCTACAAGTGTATTGGTTGGTGCCAGTCACACCCAGGCTGGGTCTGTAAGTCCTACCTCTGTAAGTTCATCATCCACACCCAGAGCTATGCTAAACCCATCAGTGGACTGATCCAGTGT